GCTCAAAGATAAAACCTCGCTATCAACAACTCAATCTGTGCTGAATTTCGCACAACACCGCTTGAACATTTCAGCAAAAACGGCGGCTCGTTAGTCAGCACAACGGCAATAAACCAATCAAGTATTTTCTCATAATACTATCCCAACCCTGACAATATGTTTATTTTTCTAATGCTTTCGTTGTGAGGACACAAAAAAATTAATTAATTTTCGGATAAAGAATTCATGATCATTATTCACACAACGAAACAAAGTACACCATACCGAGACGAGATTCGAACCTGCAAAAGGCGAATAGAAAAATGCTCTTGGTCCTTTCGACAAAACAGACTTCTTTCCACACGAGCAAATTGTTTTTATTTTCAACTAGGGACATTTAAAATTTGATTAATTTTTTCCGCTGCTGTGAAGAATTTAACTACGTCGCGTGCTGAATGTGACGTAGTTTCAATCCGCCCCTGCTGTGGCAAACTCTTCCTCTTGTGTGATGCAAATATGATCGCCATGTATCAGAGGATCAGTATTGTTTACCTCTTAGCAACATATACTTTCCCGTCCACACAAAAGCCACACTCGCACCTAAAAGATAAAAACATTCTTTTTACTTTGGGAAAAACAATGAAGCATCAATAAAATGCAACTAACCATTCAACATTTCCAATTCTGTGAATGTATTCATCTTCGCTTTCCGATGACGAAGAATTGTCATTACTATGACCACCTTGCGCGTTGGCCAAAGGCTCAAACATGCAAGGTTGTACCTCATTGTTATTGACGACAATATCATGATCGGCTTCTTCTTCAGAAGAATCCATTAATTTCGCAACCTATGAAAGCGATTGTTGAAAAATACAAAAGTTTTCCACTTCCGACATATTGTAAACAAATAGTAGCTATGTTTTTTCTAAGAATCGTATAATGTTGAGTTCGAGCTTGGTGTTTTGAGATTTTATAACTTCGTTTTGCAAAATACCTCTCAGTTGTGTACAGAATGCAACAATAATGACTTTAGCAATATTTACACTAACTCTTGATTAGCAATGGAAGTTTATGGAACTTACATCCTTCTTCATTTCTGTAACACCAATGATTTCACTAGTTTTCTTTCGTTACGATGATAATAAGTGAAAGAATAGTATACTATAATCAATGCTTTCAAAATTATCTTTAAGGATGTGACAGCACCAGCTCTTTTTATGGAATGGGAAAAAACAGCATGGAACATTCTTCTACATAACCACAAATATTTAAACTCATTTAATTTCTTAGGAAGTGCACTTCCCGCGTCAGAAGAAATTGTGTTTCAACTAAATTGATTTGTTTGTTTACGGTGAAAAGAATTTTGAGGCTTCAATAAATGTTGGTCCTCATTGTTCAAGGCAGGAAAGTGTTCAAACGACCAAATACCACCAACGTGTGACAGTTTGCTTGAACATATTCGTTGGTCAAACTACTAAGCTGCGCTTTGGCCTTTCTGTTTACAACCACAAATGGATATTACTCCTCCGGATGAAAATGGGTGGCAAACGAGTGACGGGAAACTGCGAGTCGGAAGTCGTATGGATGACCATAGCGCCGGATTCCATATTTGATAACGTTCATTGTGGTTGTAAGTCTGGCTGCAACATGGCTGTAACTCCCAACGTTGTTCATGTAACAAAGCAGGAGTGAAGTACACAGATGTATGGTCGTGTACTGCATGCACGAATGTAGATATTGATGACGACAATGATGTTGAGGAAGAGGAGTTTTTAAATGATGACATTGACGATGAATTCGAGGCAGATCTGTCTTGCACAGTACGATTATAACTTTCAAAATATTATCTTTGCAACAATTGCTAAAATCCAACCTAATGCACGAGTGAAATATGTATTTCTTTTAGGCATTTTATTTATGTTCCCAGTATTATCGTGCGGAAAAGCTCTCTATTAGGTCTGGCACTAAAACACAAAATATAAATAACATGAAGTTTCCAAGGAAAAATGGCGGATTCCGAAATTGTAATGAGCTACAAATTTTAAAATTTCAATGTAATATAGCAATAAAACTGCAGCTTTTTGGAGATGGCAAGAAGTAAATCTGCGTTAAGCATGAAAAAGTTGTTCTGTCTTGAATTTTCCACGACCTTTCTCGAGGTGTCCAACGGGAATGAAAGAAAACCGGTCACAGATCACGGACTAAATAAAATCTAGCAAACATAGGACATTTAGCAGTACGATCTATTACATGACTGAAATAAAGGCAACAAATTAAACAAAAAAAGAAGTGAACACCAAACCGTAAAAATATACATTTAACAAAAAAACAAGTTTAGTGCACATTTTTAGAAATGATTTTATAACGATTGAATAAAGCAGAAATTCTTTATAAAATACCCGCCATGAAACTTTTAAAAACTCGATTACAATTCCAGTATTCCAGACATTTAGTCATCAAAACACACGACCTAAACGTATAAAATCACACAACGTATATATATAGAATAAAACAGTGGAAATATGCAGCGCATGAAAGAAGAGTCCGACAAGTTTACTTTTCTTTTAAATACTTCGAATAGTCAATACCATCCCGGGTCATACCTCTACTTCTTGCATTTTCACACATTTTAAATGTCGACCAATTTTCGGGATCATCTTGAAAACGTTCCTTTGCAAACTGATTGAGGACAAACTTGTGAAAACTACCCGCTCCAATAGCAATAAGAAAATCACTGTTACGTATTAATGCAACATTAATGATTGGTACGCTGCTGCGAGAAATACTGTCAGTTTTTCCAGTATATTTTGGAGAGTATGTTACAGCACCACTCATTTTAGCAAAATACTCCTCATGTCCAAGGTCACGTGAGCCTGATCCTCCGTACTTACTCATATCCGTTGATAAATAAATAGGTTTAACACCTCGTTTCTTTTTCAATTCGTCTACAAGTCTCATTGCCAAAGTAAAACAGCGATTGGTTGTCGTTGGGAAAATATTGATATGATTAGCTCTAATATGAATAGCAACGTAAGGTCTTGTTAGAAACAACTTTGTAAATTTAGCAATTTCTTCCATTATCACGTCGCTGGGGTTTAAAAGGTAGTGAAAAATCTCATCGGGACTTAAATCACCTGGATTATTTTTCTTTTGATAGCCATGGTCACCGAACGATGGAATTTCAAAACACTTCACATCTTTTAAAAATGTTTTCAAGCTTTTTGTTAAATTAAAGTCACTGGCAACGCATATCATTTCCCGCTCATCTAAATTAACTGAAAGGGTCCAATCGTAGCTTCTTTTACTTCATCGCATTTCACCCATCCTTCTCCTTTGCTATGACCGTTTTTATCGTAAAGAGCATTGTCAATGAGTTTCAAGTGACCTGACGCGTCGGTACGAAGAGGTTTTGTTAAACGTATCACATAAATTGGTTGTGCGTTTTTACATGATGCATTGTATTCTTTATCTAAGACAACGGGTGGAAAATTATTGCGAGCAAAAACATCGTTAAGTTGGTGAAAGTTGTAAATCGATTCAAATGTTTCTGCGCCATTGCTAATACATCCTCCGTTATTAAAGTGTGGAGCTACAAGTTTAAAGTTTTCAAATCCGGGTACATTACCATTCCTAAAAACAGGGGCGGATCTAGACCGATGCAACCGATGCGAATGCATCGGTCAAAATATTTAGATATTAAAATCTGCGAGTTTGCATTTTAATGAAATAAATAGCAAATATTATTTTCGAATTATTTAAAACGCACATTTGACAGTGATATATTGTTTAGTTAACTTATAGATTTAGCAGTTTTAAGCTAAAATTTGTTCTAGAAATAACATTTGTGTTCTCCGATAATTTTGTCGTATTCCATGACACAAATAGCGAAAGAAAAGTCGATAAAATTTAGCGAAATTTTGTCGTGAATACATAATTAGTAAGTAATTTAATAGTATTCTGCCAGCACGTCACGGTAGATGGAAGAGGCATCGCTACGTCACAGTAGATTTGCGATGCATCGGTCGATGCATCGGTCCCGAGTCCTTTTCCGCGTGAAATCTACTGTGACATCAGCAAAACCATTGTTTTAGGGCCTCACGTCACGGTAGATTTTGCCGCTGAGCGATGCATTTTCCATAATTTTGTGATTGTGGGCACATGGCACCGATGCATTCAACTTTGAACTTCAAAGTTGAATGCATTGTTATTTGATCACTTGATATAACTCGCAATCATCGATCGAAGTCATGGCTGTCGAGAATATCAAACACGATCTGTGTACTCTGCTTCGAGAAGAGAAGTCATTTGATATTAATGGAGTTCGTCGAACCTATGAAACGAGAGCTGCTACTTTTATTTCAAAATCCTCTCCTTGGAATCCCTTTTCAAAGGGTAAAAATGGGAGACATATGTCAAGTGAAATGTTAATACCTAAGCACTTGACAGTTCATTGGCAAAGTGGAGAACTAAGAGCTTTAAAGTAAGTAAATTTACCTTTATGCTTGCATGTTTTAAATGCAAATAGTGTACTCGTTTCAGACTCAGAGTGTAGTCGTGTAGATAACGACGAACAATCATCATAAAATATACACGATGTCATATTACTTATGCAGCACTTATACTTGTATTCATATGTAATATAATACAATCGCTGGAAAATGCTTCTCGGATAGTGAAAATTCAAAAATTTTCTGGGGGAGCATGCCCCCAGACCCCCCTAGCGGTGGCTCGCGCCTTCGGCGCTCGCAATGCATCGGTCAGCTAAGGAGCTGGATCCGCGCCTGCCTAAAAATATTCTCATCTGCTTAGACAGTTCTTCGCCATATCTGTGAACTTTAAGATAACCCCTCCATTTTGTGGCAATGTTTCTGGGTTTTTTTTTCTTTTCATGACATCTTTGACTTTGTCAAATGCATCAAAATTTTTATCTCGGATAAAATAATCAAACGTAAAGTTTTCACCAAATAAATTATATCGTCCGTTGTTTTTGTTATTAATATTAATTGTCACTTGCTTGTTACCTTTAGTGCTCGCTATAGTAGCAAATACTTCGTCAAGAATCCTTTGATGGTTGACTGTAAGCGATGGTGGACCTTTTATCATCAGTTTTCTTCTTGAATTAAGGCTAAACCAAACAAGAAAGCCAAAAAAGCAAATCACAACGACGCTGTTGTACGCAGTTTTCATTTTTGTGATCTACAATAACCTGACACGTTGAATGCGTGTAAATTCAAAGTTGCATTTATCTAAAGAAATTTCATGCATCAAATTGCACATAAGTTGAAGCAAATATGCATAAAATATCACAACAAAACAAAGACGTCTTAGAAACGCATCTAGAACACTGACCTGATAATAAACTGCAACAGCTTATATAGTTATGAAAAGTGAACCCTAATTATATTTGGAACTTCCGATTGCCCAATACAGATACAAATTGCTATAGAAATTTATGTCAGATAACGTTTACAAACAAGGGTTTTCGAATAGTTAAGGCATTTCGCGACCATTTAGGCTTTTCTTTATCTCATATACCTGTTATGGATAAAAAAGTTATTTTAATCAATTTGATATCAAAATTATTAAGATACATGTAAATTATCGGCGTTTGTGTTCATTTGAAATCTGCTCGTGAAAGAATCGAATTTACCCCATCGTTACCAATGCAAGATAGTTTACCACTCGCTTTCCAAGTTTAGAGGCAGTTATGACCTAGAATATATTTCAATGCTTAAAAATTGTGGTAAGTACCTTTATTTTATCATTCTTATAATCTAGAGATTGTTGTATGTTACTTTTACCGAGACTTTATGAGCGAGGTATTATTGATGTAGGAAAGAACAAATTCACTAAGCTTTTCTACCTTACTGTATTCTCAGTTTTAATTCCTATTTTTAATTTATAAAGATAATAACACCATTACACAGTGCTATAGGATTTCGATATGGCATTCATCGATGAGTTAGCGTGCAGTTTGGTTTTTTTGACAAAAGTATCTAACATGTATTAATTGCAGTCTATACAAAGCTGTAGCATCAGGAATTGTATTCTCTTGTATTAAACTGCCATCAGAAGTTGAAAACACCTTTCTGTTTCATTGCATATTTATATAACAATAGCTTTTGTTCGAAACAAAATGCTCCTGTCTATTAAAGACAGGAAAGCAGATTCACTTTTGTAATTTTTTGAACCAGAAGGTGGTTTCTTTGCCAGCATCCGGCAGTGTATAAAGAATGATAAAATAAAGGTACTTACCACGATTTTTAAGCATCAAACATATCCTAGATCATAACTGCCTCTAAACTTGGAAAGAAAGCTGTGAATTATCTTGCCTTGGCATCAATGGGGCAAATTCGATTCTTTCACGGGCCAATTTCAATACACCTTTTTGGCGGTTTTATTTGAATAAAAACACGTGCTCGCTAAGTGAAAAACTCGGACAAACATGGCGGAAGTCATAACAATGACTAATTTGCTATATGAAATAGAAATATGCAAAATAAATTTTAACATTTCTTTATTTCAAAATATAAGCGCTTAAATGGAAGAAAGGTTACGTGAAGAGAAATTCAAAGCTATGAAACTGCCAGAATTAAAAAGTTACCTGCAGAGTAGAGGTATAACCGTAAGTAGTTATCTGAAGACGGGACTAGTAGCCATTGCATGTGCAGTGGAAAAAATGAACATTCCATTGATACCGCAAGTCAGTAAAGCCAAGCAGCAAGTAAATTTAAGTTGTCGTTTGACCATCCATGACGTTGAGCTGCCGGATCCATTTACGATTAATGTTTCAAATGATTTTAAAAATTCAACCCCGTTCGGCTTGTTTGATGTATTTAATCATCTTATATATCATTCATCGGAATACGACAAGCAGGGTCTGGCAGCCTATAAGTCGTTCGAGAACTATCGTCTGTTTTACGATGGATTTGTTGAGTCTTTGCTAACAGCATACAGGCAAGATGCTGGGGTCCATGTTTATATAGGCAAGGTTAAGCCTACAATGAAAGAAATGACAAAGATGGTAAAGACGTTTACGATTTATGGTTTATAATGGAAGGAATTGGGTCTAATCGCGGCCGTGTGCTTGATGCGTATTGCTGTTGTCTTGGTGGTTGAGATGGTGGATGTAAGCATGTATCATCTGCTTTGTATTCTCTTGAAGATCTGCTTAATTCTAGAGGAGAGGATAGTGTTACAAGTAAGGAGTGTAAATGGATTCAAACATCAAGATTCTCATTCATCTGTTAGAAGTGAGCTCTTATCATGCCACCAATAAAATATATTGTGCGAATAAATCTTGCTATATGCATTATTTGGTATGTCCCACAGCAAATCTCTTCAAATCTCTGTGCTGTTTTTGTATCACTTTTTATTAAATACTTTTTGAAGGTAATTATGGAAACTACATGTTTCTTCAAGTTAGAGCTTAATAATAGGAAAGATATACTCAATGCAATAACATAGGGAAGAGTGCTTACTTTTTCAATCTCGCAACATTTTTTAGGATATTGAAAAATATGAGAAATGTCCCAATGATTTCATTGTCATGGAACATAAATGTTTCAGTAACAAGGATGCCACAATGGAAAGAAATAAACGGCGCAGAACTTTGCACACATTGTTTACTCTGCATTGATCTAAGTTTATCAACACAAAGGAATATTTTATTGTATATTTATACAATGTTTTTAAGGTGATGCAATAATCTGTGGTTGCAAATTAACCAAGGCTGCACAGATAGACGCAACAGAATAAATATATGGTTTCATTGTTAATGGGATTACACCTTGTAATATACTAAATGACTTCAGTCGTTGAATAATACTTTCAATGTGAATCCTCTTTGTAGCCACTCTCCTTGTCATTGTTGTTGCACCAGTGCCAACATTACCTTTATGCTTAATTGGAGGTGAAATTAAACGGACATGTTGAAGGGCAAGTAAATCCTGGATCTTAAATCCTTTGTCAGCCATCCCCTGCAGCTAACTCTTCCAACAATCCACATCTCTTGATGATTTCCTTGTCGCTTATGCAACCACTGAACAATGTAGAGATATAATTGATATGTAGAAGCGGTGACATGGAAATAAATAGTTTGAAGGTGTTTCTGCCTTTGTAGTTACTATGTGTCCGACGTTGACTTGAAGGAAGAGAAGGTTTTTGTATATAGAATTATGTGCAATCAATTATTGCATGAAGACATGGATTAGATTCGTAAACTTTAGGCCGGGTTACTCCTTCCATGTCTTTCAAAGTGGTAAATGGAATAAATAACTTTAATTCCTTATCAAGAAACTTCACCCATGTCAAGAATATGCTGCTACCAACAGTTTCTGACACTCCAACTAAATCACATAACATCTTGAGACTAGGGAATCTTTTGATCCTGACCAATGTGAATATAAATTGCTCATAAACTGAAAGTTTAGCCCATGTAGAAGTTTTGTGGATATATAAAAATGATTAAGTGCTTATCATTCATTATACATAGGGAGCTATTAACTGCATTACACAACTATTAACTTGAGTATTTACTTGAGCAATATGTATGATTATATATTACTGTACCCTAGCACTGCTCTATTTTTCTTGTTTATATTTTGCTGTTTTCTTCCCTTTCCATTTGATAAGCCTGGAAGCCTTTGCTTTCACGAACTCAAAAAGTATTTTCAACATTTCACTTGGTAGGACTACAGATAAATTAATTCAGAGTAGCTCACAAAGTCCTTTATTATTTACACTAGCTTCCAACATAAGCAATTATATCCCGTTATAATCAACATAGTAAAAAATGAAATTTTATACCTGTACACAGTAAAAACAGATTGGTCAAAATGACCAATTTTTTCGTCACAACCAATTTTTAAATTGGTCAAACCTTTTTGACCATTAAAATATTGGTAATTTTAACCAAAAAAAATTGGCAGCGGCACGTGCCTGACAGCCTGTTGCCGTTGTATGTAGTCGCGTGGCGTGTTTCTAAACTTCTTGTGCTTTGTTGAAGTGCATTTTAAGTGTTTAAACTCTTCTATTGTGGGCAAAATGGAAATCAACAAACAATCATCTGTCGCTGACATTATTCTTTTTTTGAAAAAGAACAAATTGGATGAAATTGTCGAAGATTTTGAAGGTATTGTCTCATCCTGAAATGTAGGTCGCATGTGTGAGGTTTGGTGTCTCGTGCATAAATCTAGTGTAGAAAATAATTCAAAATTAGATTTATGGATGACTTGCCTTGTTTACGTTTTGCTATTAGGCAAATTTGGTCGAGCGCTTTTAGAGAATAGCAACAGCAATAACGTAATTTCATTGATGTTTTGCTTCTTATATTTTTAAAGCTTGTCAAGTCAACGGCGAGAATTTTTTCAATTTAGAACCACATGATATTTATCAGACGATTCCTCTAATAAAACTTTGCAAGAAATTAACGTGTATTTGGAATGACGTTACTCAAAAGGTAAATTGAAGCCTTACAGGTTTTCTATACATAAAATGGTTCAAAATACTTGGTTTGTTATTGGTTTGTTGATTATATTTTTTACTGCTATGTGCTTTGATTGTGTCGTTATAAAATCACCAGAAGTAAAATTTCCGGCTTCATCTATTAACAGGGGTCATCAGCTTCAACAAGACACTCTTGTGTCACTTCGAACAACATCAGAACCATCAACAAAGATGTGAATCCAGACATTCCGAGTAATTCAGCTGATCATCAAGAAAATCATGATGAGGTGTCAAGCAACCCAGCTTCACTTGTTTGTGTTGTAATTGTGTGGATCCAGATGAACCATTGCTCCTATTTTGCCTGAAATAGCTTAAAAGCATTTAGTCTGCTTACTATATATTGTTTTGTTCCTCTATGCTTTAGTTATGTTGTATTATGTTTGATGAAGAGTCACTATAAGTAGAATTTATGATTCAATCCTCTATTAACAGGGCTTGTCAGAATCAGCTTCAACAGTGCACTCGCACATCTATTCAAGCCACATAAGAACCATCAACTTGGATGTAAATGAAGACATTGTTCTTAGTACTTCAGCTGATCATCAAAATGATGGGTATGAAGGCTGAAGCCATTATTTGTATACAATATTTGTTCTAATGCTAGTTCATAAATATACGATGTTTCATGTTTGACTCAGTTACATAGGAAATTTTCCTGAACTCAATTATTTTGTTATATAAAATCCATAAATTAGCATTCTCTTTCCATGAATGGATGTAATTCCACTTTTCATTTTTGTTACTCATTGTGGAATTACATAAATTCCACAATAAATACAGTGTTGAAGTTTTGAAAATTTTGCTGCGTTATTTCTTTACTTCTTTATGTTGTATGTTAAGGTTTAATTTTACTATTTTTTAAGAACATTGGACCAGAGAGACATCTCAAGGACAATGTTCCAAGGAGTCCCTTGACAGCTAATGTGAACAATTCCAATTGGTTTCCCAAGTTTTGTTTGCCAACAAGAGTAAGTAGCATTAAAACTTAGTTTTTTACACTCTACAAGCTTAATATATGTTAATAAAGATTGCCATATCATATTAAACCATGCTGTTTGTGTATAGTGGGAACCAGCAGTGGAGGAGGCATTAAAAAGGCAGGAACTAAATCCAAATGAAAAAAATGCATTAAACATGCAATTAACTTCTTCAATTTCGGCACATACTGTATCGCCAACTGTTCATGAAAGAAAACACATTGCTCTTATGTTAATTCAAAAGTATCCATTCTTAAAGGGATCATTTGGTTCTGGTCATGTAGGTTAAAAAAATCAATTATATTGCTGCATAATTCAGTTTCATAAAGTACTGTCATTGTTTTGTTTTTTTCCAGCAACTATGGGCAAACAAAATAGCAGACCGAGTCCTTAATCTGCGAAGAAGAGCATCCCGAGCTCAAAAGCGAAAGCGGCTTGAAGAAGGAGTCCTAATTCCAAAGGGAAAACCTGGTAGGAAAAGTAAGAAATCAGCTTGCAATTCTCTCCCATCTCTTCCAGAAGGTGAAACAGAAGCAGCTATTGTAAATCAACAAAAGCAGTTGGTTGAAATGTTTAATATTGGCTCGCAAGACTTAAGCAAGATCAATCTGTTGATGAACAATACCTTTGCTCATTGGCGTAGAGAAATTTTGGTGAACAATACAAGGGTTTGGAAGCTTCTGCATGACTTCCCTTTTTTCAAACACACCAAGGGAGTTGAAGTAAGGTTTCATTTCTTTTTCTGATTTTTCAATTTTTTTGAAGTATCAGGCATGTTAGCCTAATGAGAGGGTAATATTCATACGTGCATGGTATACTTTACTAGATTCTAGTACTACAAACAATTTTAATTCAACAGATTATATGTAGCATATGAATTTATGAATATGAGTTTTTTGCCAATTATTAATCTGCTGCTGTCCATGAGTATGTATGCTGTAGCAAAACTGTCAGTTGTATCACAATTACTCAGAGAAAGATAATTAGTTTTTTGGTTTAATTTTTTTCCAGCTGAAAGCAGAGTTAGGACGTATTTTGGAGAAGAGTGATGTTGTGCAAGACATGAAGGAACGATGGAATTTGCACAAATATAAAATGCTGTCTGCTATTAAAAAGACAAAGCAAAAGAATGTCAGCAGTATCCTTGAAGAGCTGGAGGATTGTCCAGATGAAGATGAGAAAGGTTGGTGTAAAAATCAATAAGTTAAAATCCCTATTTATACTGAAGTGTTAATGCTTTAGAGAGTGATAATGGTAATATATTCATTCTATGCTATGTTGATTATTTTAGCATTTTAGCATAGAAACATTCTTGCTATGCCTAGAAACACAAAATTTTGATATTGGGCCAGCCGTATTTTACATTTAAAACGAATTCTGCGAATGTCATGTTTGATGACGTCGTTGGTATAAAAAAAAAGTAATGTTCAGAGAAATCTGCAATTTCCCTGTATATTCTTATACAACCGCTAAGATGATAGAAGAAGTATATTACAATTTTTTCTTTAGGGCAATACTTTCCAAAATATTTTGCATGGAATATTCTTAAAAGTGCTGAGTCAGCATTTTAATATTTTTTTATTATATATAAAGTGTATAACAATGCGCCCTCCCGGCTTTCACCATAGTGCAATGGTAGATCGTAGTGAAACGATGAAGAACATTCAATTAAGTTTCTTTAAGATTTATTACCTTACTTGTGTTAGAATTCAAAATACTTACTCATTCTATCCTTTAACATTTCAGGTTTTTATCATTTTTTGTCACTTCAATGTTTTGAAACGCTTCAAAACAATCCCCAAATTGATTTTCAACTCGTACATAAAAATCGTACGCACTGACCAACCATGAAGTAATCCATTATTATATCCTTACTTGTTCTTGTTGTAAAACTTTCCTTTAAGATTATAATGACGTGCGCATTTTTGCAAGGTCAATTTAATCAAGAAGATTCTTTTTTCTTGATCAAGTTGTAAACACAACAAAGCATGCACATGTAGTGTCAATAACTGCTTCCCTCTTAGAATATTATATAACTCATGGACTGGAGGTAATGGAATAGAAGAAACGCTGAAAGAACGCCAAGCATCATGGCATAAGTCATGCAGGATCTTTTTACCAATACAAAGTTGCAACGTGCCCTGAAAAGAAGCTTAGTTGCGGAGAAGACAGACGAAGAACAAACATCTGAAATCGAAAAAGGAAGTCCAGTTAAAGCCAGATAAGCAAGCTTCCCTGCAGTTTCCAAGAATGAGTGCATTTTCTGTGATAAACCAGACAACTCTTCAAACGTTCGTGCAGCTTCAACGCTTGAGATAGACGGAAATGTTAGGGAATGTGCTGTTCTGCTAAACGACAGACAACTTATAGCAAAGTATCAAATCGTGATATGGTAGCAATGGAAGCAAAGTACCATCCCAAATGCTTATTTTTCTCTATAATCGACCAAGGTAAATGAAGGCTGAGACGTCAACAAAGGCTGAACGTTCAGGCTAAACCTTGATGGGCTAGCGTTTGCTGAACTTATTGCTTATATATAAGAACGACTAGAATCAGATTCTTTAGTTTTGCTTAAGATGACGGAGCTGACAACATATTTTAAAATGAAGTTGAAGACATTAGGAGTTGAAAGTGGATCATTTAACTCTACCAGACTTAAGAAAAGAGTCTTCACTGTTTTTCCGAATCTTACTGATCAAAGTCAAGGAAGAGACACTACTTGTATTGAAACATGAAATTGGAAACGCTTTTAAAAGACCAAAGAAAGAAGATTCGGAAGCATGGCAATTAGCAAGAGTGATTATAAAAAGGGATATATTTTATACAAAGAACTTATTCAACGGACAATCTCAATCTTGGAATATGTAATTTGAAAAACTGTTTAAGTGTTTATGTCACAATTTTTTTCGCGAAATTTCTGATTCAGGTAAAAAAAAATCATTGTAAAAGTGGTTTTACAATTTTTTGGTCGATGGCTTCATTTTGAGATAAATGCATTTCTTTTCTCAAAATAAGCAATATGGGGAAAAACGCTACTCGTTTAATTTGTTTGATGAGATACTAAATCGAGAAGAATGTGATGTGACATAAGAAAAGAAGACTATGGAAAATAGAATGAACTGTAAAAACCTTGGGCAAAATCGTTGGCGATACTTGGTTATTAATGTTTTAAGATTCAAGGTAATGTAGTAATATGAGATTTGTATATGAATTTCTATTTTAGAAAGAGAAAATTAAAGAGAGAGAAAAATAATTTGAAAATATTAGTGTTAGAAAACCATTATACTTAATTTTCATTAGTTGATGAATATATTGATTTGTTAAACGATTTGTTAGTTCTCTCTGATTTATATAAAGATTTAAAAAAATGGCATGGAGAAGATTTAAATTACTGTAATATTGTTGGAAGTCATTCTCAATTGTATGTGAATGCACTGAAGAAAAATGATAAAAAATGAATATTATCTACCTTTTGGTTTTTCTGATTCCACGTATAAAGATCGATGAACAAATAAAGACATGAGCAAAAATTGATGAGAATTTACTTGTACAACTTTTTACTTGTACATACTGTTTTACGAAAGGACAATTTTCATAGAAATTATCATAGAAATAATGAAAAATATGATAATTTTAAAATATGTAAGGAATCTATAGGCGGTGTTACTACTACATATAAAGAGAATAATTAAATTTGTAAACAAAAAAAGCATGGTGTAAATACAGCGAAGGAATTATTAGCGAAAATAAAAATATTTTAGATATGGAAAATAGAGAGAGTTTTGGAGAGAATTTTATTCAGTTTATGAATAGATTTTTTGATTTGTCACGTGATACTAATCAATTATTTTTGACGGATATTTTGAAGCTGTTAAAAATAGATAAGGAAATAAAAAATGTTAAAAGAAATAACGATTGAAAATTATAGTAATCAAAATAAAATCACAAATTACGGTATGGAAAAATTGATCACAGAAAAAATGATGAAAGAGTTGGAAGAAAGACTTCGAATTGCTGAAGAAAAGAAAGAAAATTTGGTGGAAAGAGAAAAAACATTAGAAACTATTAAAGAAATGAAGAAATTAAACGAATCTTTATTTGAAGAAAAAAGTGAATTGATTGTTATAAATAAAATTGTATGAGAGGATCTATAAAAAAAATCAAACAAAAGATTGTGGATATTTAAAGACAATGATGAATGAAAATAAAAAAATAGAAAATTTGTATTTAATTAATTCCATTATTTATCGTTAAAGATTTAAAAAAATAATTCGTTTCTATCAAATGCATTTTTTTTTAATAAATAAAATATCATTACAATTTGAAATATGAAAGTTAGAGTCTTTATAAAATATTCTATATAAATTTAAGAAATGTAACTTATCATAATAAATTACTGAATTACTTGTTTTGTTTTTTTTTATATTTTACAACTAATAAAAATATAAAATCATGTAACAATATGTTACAATATTTACATGATAATATACGTCGTGCATAATCAACATAATTCCATTTTCTATTAAAAATTTATAAATTACATTTTTATTTACATTAAATAAGTTAATTTTTTTCAGTGTATCGAAAAATTCTTTACATGATATATAAATTTTCACACTGCTAACAATTCTAAATAAATCCCCACAATGTAAACATAAATGAAAAACATATTTTTTTACACTATGAAAGTCATGCAAATAAATGTTAAAATGATCATATAACTTAATATCGGTTTTTTTGAGAAACCAAAATAAAACTATATCTACAACAAGAATCTTCATCAAATAATAACAACTTTTTATACTGCATTTACACCCAATAAGTAGGAATTAAATAAATATGTTCAAAGTTTTCATAATCCCAACAACGTACAAACCCTAATATCCCGTACAATTTTTCAATAAAATCTAATTTTTATAAATTTCTCTTTTGGAATCATATTTAAAAAAATTTGAATACTTTTAATCTTTTCTAGTTCATTTAATATTCAACACTTTCCTATTCGATGGGATACTTTTCAATTCAATATATAACTGCATACAAAATGCAATGGGTATAGTATTGGATGACCATGATATTCTATCAATAAAATAGCAAAAACTTGTATCGCCAAAAAATCTATAAAAAAATTTATAAAATAATCCATCAATATGTCCAATATAACCAATATTTTAAAGATTACACGACGGGAAAAATTGTAAAATCATCTTTTTTTTATGTAATCTACAAAAAATTATTAATTTATTTTTATTCGTTTCATCGTTTTTGTCACTTTATCTGCAAAAACTTACTAATAAAACCAAAAAAATAAAAAAAACATTTAAAAATGAAACAATTGATTTTTAATAGCATATTCATTTATATACATTGTATAGTTAGATTTAATATCAACTCTAGGTTTGTATTGATTATAGTAAAAATTACAATAATGTACACCAATACGTCCCACACGACTAAAAATATAACCATTATGCCCTATAACAGCACATGACTTTTGCTATAGGGTTTTTCCATTAATTAATCCTTGAACTTCAGGAAGAATAGGCAGGGCCAGCAAAAACACTTACTTGCAATGCTATCTCTTCCAAAATAAACCAAATCCATCTTTCTGTATCAACTCTCTCGAAAGCATCGAACAGTAAATGTTGTTCACAATTTTGCCATCAGCCTTCAATTTTTGAGTATATTTTACTAGCCAGATTATCAAGCAAAGAATGCTTCGAAGGCAAACAATCCATGATATCTGCTTTGGCAGCAGAAAAATATGGAATTAAACAAGGGGATCATAAAGATAGTGTTTTGTAATTTTTTGAATGTTAATGAACTATAAACACAAATATCGCGCACAAAGAAAATCACTCGTGGCATAAAGTGTTAGTCATGCTTTTCAAAAACAGCATGACCAGATGACGTAAAACGTCGCGTTTGAGCATGCTCAGATGCTCTTATCAAACCAGATTACAAAAAAATCACTATAAAACATATTTGGTCATGCTGATTTTTAAGAGCATGACTAAGGCGCGCTTGAAAGTTTAGAATAAGTTTTACTTAAAGCTTTTGCATGGCGGTAAGATAATACGCTGTAGAATACTTTGATAACACGCATAGAGCAAGTTTGTAGTTGCTTTTTGTCCCAAATTGTTATATGTGAATAAAAATAATCTCTAAGAAACAGTCATACATCAGAAATCTACAATCCCTCTAAAAAAATGAAATAATTATTTTGTAGAAGTTTTTAGTCATGATGAGCATAACTAACATGGCCTCTAGCTACGCCACTTTTTGCTATTGATAAAAACCTCCAATAAAGTTGATCATACTATTTGACGTATAGTTGATGTCAACAACACTCAGTTCCTATGAAGAACAGTAAATTAAAGCTATTATTTGTTTCCTTTTCATAGAAAATGGAAAGTTACTTAGGGCAGTAATGACAAAGTCGAATTCCGAGAGAGAGATGCAATATTGAAACACAAACACATCATACACTGACTAAACATTAACATTAACGTAAAGTATTCTCCTTTTGGTAAATATAACAAATATCACACACCTGGTATGTTTCTATAAGCTATCTATCGAGCCAAACGATAGAACTATACATTACGTGATATACTTTCATCTTGTCCTCAGTGTTCTATTCTTGTAGTCGTTAGGAATTCACGCAATGAATTTAATTTAAAAACATGTAGATCTTGACATTTTTTTCATGCTTCACATAAAGTATTATTCCTCAATCTGCACTAGAGTTACCGAGTTTTAATTTGTCTTGAAACTTCACGACTAAATTGTCGTTGACGCAATAATGATGCAATTTTTCATTACGATCGACGTAATCTCTGCTCAAAATAAGCCTCGAACATCAGGCGCCGATCCAGATTCGTATATGCACTTAGGCACAATGTGGCACCGTTAGCACGAGTTTTCTAGGGGGGTCCAGAAACATGTCCCCCCCCCGTAAAATTTTAAAATTGCATTGCGAAAAACGTTATTTCCTGCGTTTTTGCAGTTGGTCTTCCAAACTATTTATTACTGGAATGAGCTAACATTCTTGCTCATAAATTATCGATTTTTGACCGTTTCGCTCAATATCAGAGCTCATCAGCATGCCTAGGAAACTCGCAGAAAAATATGCTTCGAGGGCTTCCGACATGGACGGCCTGGTTCATTACAAACCTAGCCTAAAAAATTCTTTACACATCATTAATATGGAATTTCATTTTATAATGGTCTAGTCATACCTATATGCTGATTATTATGCAAACGATTCCATGTCAATTTATCAAATGAAGTTGTCTATAAAAAAAAGCAAAAAATTGTTTGTACATTCGGTCGTCCAGGTAAGTGAAGTCCTGAGAACGACTGTTTGTGTTTATATTAACTGAGGTTAGCGGCAGTCATATTTACAGTCAAGAGTTTAAAATAGGCATGAAGAACTTTCACTCCGAACTAGAAAGCTAGTTCAATTCTTCTTTTGTCTTTTGAAAAAAGATCTATAATCTTTTCTATATCTAGATTAGTGTCCTGATGAATATACAATAAAGCAAGACCATTTAACCTGTCAGCAGCCATAGTACCTCTTGTATAGTAGTTTAATCTTTGCAAAGCAGAGAACGACCTCTCACACTCACAAGAAGTAACTGGGATAGTACCTAAGATCTTTAGCAATAATTTTATGTTCTCAAAACCTGGAAAATTTACCGACTTTAAAGTAGAAGAGAAATTTTCAGGAAGACAAGTTTTAGAAGACGATTCCCAGTATTTCTGCCAGAGATCAAGTTCACCATCTAAAGCTTTTGGATTTGGAAGGTCATCCAAGAGCAAAGAAGTAAATGAGTAAAATTTTTCCTTCCAAGTAACGCTACAAGAAAGACACAAAAGTAACTTGGATGGAATTAAAAACAAGCCATAATATATGCTAGTTGCTGATGAATCAAACCTTTTTTCTAACTCAGAACACAAGTGATCAGCTAAAGGAATGGTTATTGTTTTCTTAAAGTAATCAGATACAGATTCAGACGGAACATTACTTCTAATTGCCTGACGATCACTAGGTTTTTTCTCTTCAACACCCACTTTTTCTGCCATCGTCAATGCAATACTGTACCAGTTAGCATGATAAACATCGACTTCATTTCTTACAGTTCTCGACAATATTTTTAATGCCTCAATCAAGTTCAAACCGTCAGCAATATCATTACTAGAAGACTGAAGTAACTGAGTATCTGGAAGAGTAATATCAAAAATACACCTAGTTATTATCACTGCTGCAATAAAATCAAAAGATGTCAAAAGACGTAACAGAGGGGAAGCTTTACTAGAGGTCTAACGATTACACTTGTCTTCGACGTTAAAACTCATTTCTTCCAAGGAAAAAACAATAGCAACATACAGTTCTTCAACAGTATGTAAGCTAGAAATACGCTCGACCCATCTTGTCTTACAAGCACTTCTCAATCTCTTTTTTGCAAAATCTGGACCGTTTTCTCCAATGCAATTCTCCAAAATTAGTTGTCTGCATTGGGAAGAGTTGAAAAAGTTAGCAACTTCCTTCACATGTTCCAAAACATTTCTTACATACTGAACAGCACAAGTCCCACAAATACTAAGATTTAATCTGTGACTGAAACAATGTGTGTAAATGGCTTTATCATTCAAATTCTTAATCCTTGCAGCAAGACCATTAATGCATCCAGCAACAGCACCTGCGCCATCATACCACTGCCCACGACAGTCCTGAATGTTCAAATTCAACTCTTCGTTTAAACTTTTCAAAATCACAGATGCAAGGTCCTTCCCAGACATACCCTCACTACAATGAATGAAACGAAAAAATTCTTCTCTTATGTTGAACTCCTCGTCAACAAAACGCAAAACCAAAGACATCTGTTCTTTATTAGAAATATCACATGTTTCGTCTGCAATCAATGCATAAAACGTGCTCTTTTTTACTTCAACTAGAAGCTGTTCAGTGAAGAATTGACCACAACACCTAATTAACTCATTCTGAGTAGTTTTAGAGATGTAGGAGGCATTTTTATCATGATGCTTAAGATGGGCTTCCAAAATGGTGTCCCCTCACGAACACGGAAGTTTAATAATTCAATAAAATTACAAACATGCTTTTCAGAATATTCACCAACTTCAGGATGATACTGAGAATCATCGCGATGACCTCTAAGTGGTAATTGAAGGCGACCTGCAAGAATGATGGTATCAACTACTGGAACTAATTTTTTCCTATTCTCTGAAATCTTTTTCTTTAAGTTACTATCAATCATGACATTTATTGGCTGGCTTTTACCGGAACTCTGATCCAAGATATCCTTAAGAAGAGCCGAAATGTGAACATGAAGACCTGATGATGTACTTATATGCCTTTTTATTGCACTTTTAGCATCAGGCCAATGTGTTAATGGCTCTGAAAAAATATTTTAATTCGACTGTTTTTGGAGGGAAACCTATCACCAAACAAAACACATGGTTAGCAAAAAGCACCATTATAACTTGGGGAATACGAAAGCCAAAGATAATCCTTCAGCCAATCATGTCGAAAGGACCTACTGCGATCATTTGCATCAACAGTTTCAGGAAATTCATAGCATTCATCAGGTACGTATTTCTCCCGCAAGTGAAATATAAGTATTTTTAGCATTCATCAGGTACGAATACATTCTTTACAAGTTTTTCAATTTCATGAATTTCCATACCTCTCACCTTTTCTCTATAAAAACCAACATCATATGGATTTCTAGGCAAATCATCATTTGCAGTTTTATTATCTGGTAATTGCAAGGTAGAAGATGAAATAAAAGAAGAAACATCACAAGAGCCCAAAGCGATATTGTGAGATATACCATATGGATGAGCCTTGGTTGTCATGGTTGTCTCAGTAGGACCAGAAGGTGTAAAACCTCAACTATGTTTGTATACTGGGCTTTTTAGCTCGTGACAAGTGACTACTTCCCTTTCTTTTAGTTCCCTTCCCAGCAAGTATCAAAGGCACATAGTGATTGTGTTTGAATGCAGTTGCTTGAGGAGCTGAACCTTCAAAGCAAAACAAAACTAGCAAATAATTACTAGTGGAAGCACAAGCTATAGATCGAATACGAGGTTCAATTCTTTGGTTAAATAATAAATTCCACCTATAAGCACAAGATTATATGTCAGGATAATAAGAAAAAATGCTACAGGATGTAACTGAAGAGAGTGCCAACAAACAAACAAACCCAGTCTATGCCATATCTTTTATATTTAACACAGCTTCTGCCCTGACCAGTTCAGCAACAGAACAACCACTTCCAGCACTATCAATAGCTTCAAAAGAGACTGACATGGCCACCATGCTTGAGATAGAATCAAAGTGTTTGTTATGCTGAGTTTCAAAAACATTTGAAAAACATGGATGTTTCGCATAATAATCAGCAAATAAAAATAATTCCATAGAGGTCATCAGCCTCAAAATAGTCAACACAGAGTTGTCACCAACAAGCAGAAATTACAATGAACTATAGATTCAGTTGCCATTTGTAGCAGATCTGAAATAATATTATGTAAATTTCAAATATCATGCTTCATTTCATTTTTGTACATCTTATCTTAAGTATCTATTGAACACATCAAGAAATAAATCAATAGAAACGTTTTAAATATGATCGAAATTTGAAAATTTGTTTTGTTTTGAATCACATAAATAAAACACAAATGACAAATCCATCGGGCATCACATCAAGTCAATTTATATTTGCTTATATATTCTTGTGTAAGCATGCATGCATAACATGTCATAAGTTTTCTAACCTTAAAGTGCACATACAGCTATTTTTAGTTTTTAATTTTCAAATAGATTTTGGATAAATAATACAAATGCCGTTTACAGAATTTGAATAACGTTTTTCGTTTTTGAGTTATCTTTCGGCAAAGATGCGAATAAAACCTAAATTTCAACGTTTTGTAAAAATTGTCGAGAGCTCTAATCCGTGGCATGGGACTTACTTGTGACGTCATTTAAGGAACACAGAGTGACTTCCAAAACAAGTTACACTATTTATGCATGTGAACAAACACAAAAATGCCAGATCGATGTGTAGTTTTTGGTTGTTCTAACGTAGCCAGTTTGGAGAAAGGCATTTCACTTCATCGCATACCATTTTTTAACGACGAAAGAAGCGAAGCTAAGCGTAGGAGAAAGCGATGGGTCAACTTTGTGAAAGCTACTCGCGATAAGTGGGTCCCCACAAAGAATTCCGCAGTTTGCTCGGAACACTTCACAAAAGATTCGTTTTCTCGGCAATTCGGCTCGCTTTCTGAATCAGAAAGTAATTTTGCACCTCGACTCATTCGAGATGAGTTCGGAATCGTTGCTTACCCGAGCATTTATCCTCGAAAAGATGACAATGAACTTACAACAAGAGATCGCAGAATGGTGAGCACGTTAAAATTATACATATGCATATCTACATTTTACCTGGAATCTGTGTGAGAGTATATTTCATAAATACATGCCATTTTAGATGAAAAGAAAGTGGATGTCTGATTATAAAAGAGAGGTTGAATCAGAAAATATTCCAAGTACAAGTAGCGAACCTCAAGAGCAAATATAAGAAACAACTTGTGATGAGCCTGTATTAGAGAAAGTAAACTTATATGATTATTACGCCACTGCTGTAAAGGTTAACGTAAATTATTGTTTTGTATATGTATTGCTGTTTGTACTAATTTAGGAAGTAGCTGTGCAATGTGAATTAGAATGCCAAAATTGTTTAAAACTGGAGAAAGAGAAACGTCGCTACAGGAACTTATGGCTTGGGGCAAAGCTTAAGCTTCAGTGTAGCAGAACTTATGCAAGCAGTTCTAATATAGATATGCTTGCCGTGGGTAAGTGTTTTTTAAGATAATACGCCTGTTAATTTTATTTCATGTATGATTCTAGGTCAAGAGAAGATTTGCCAACGTAATAGGATCAGCCATGTTTAATAACCTCAATTTCTACAATACTACCAACTAAGCTTGCATGCACCCCTGGAAAATTATTGAAGTTAATTACTAAGAAATATGGACTTAATCAACCTTGTGTAGCTGCTCATTACTGAAGTATCTTATTTCATAGATGAGTATGACAACAGCAGCAGCAATGAAGAATCATCAACTAGTTGCAAAGTGGTTGATCTTGATAGTTGTCCTGCTGAGGAGGTTTTGGACCCAAATGATCTTAGTGGTGACTCAGACTCAGAGAGTGATCTTGGTGCTCAACAAAGTTAAGAGACTGAGACAGAAGAGATAATCACATCTAGTGACATGGAAGTTGACTCTGAATCAGAGCAGCCAAGAACATTTAAAAGGTAACAATTTTTGGATGAGAACTGTAATGTATCAATCACCATGACAATGTTAAAATAGTGGTGATTGTTAAATAAATCAAAGTTAAACAGCTTATTTAATCAGTCACTACCTTGATGACACAAATAATGTGTGCCAGTATGTAATTGTATTTATTGATAGCTACTATTGCATTTCATACATTGAGTTTTTTTCTTTTGTAGAGTGCTCAACAAAGACACCAACCTAAGAACAGAGAAAAAATTCATTGTGTTCTTCACCCAACTGTTTGAACTTTTTAAATTCTGCCCAATTTGCAAATGAGATGATGTTCTTGTTGAGATATTGCAAAATGGTTCAATGGCAAAAGTGAAAGTTAGTTGTTCCAATCAAAAATGTGGAGCAGCCACAACATGGAATAGTCAACCAGTCATGACTGGGACTTCCATTCCTGCTGGAAATTTGCTATTGTCATTTGGTATTTTGATTGCTGGAACCTCTGCCACAAAGGTGATCAGAGTTCTACAGCACATGGGATTGGCATGCATTTCATTGAGTACATACTTCTCTCACCAGCGTGTAAGTAAGACTTATCCAACAGTGTAAAAGAAAAATGTAAAGAAATTAATACAATCAAATGAAAAGCTTGAAAGTCTTTTTAAAGTTTTGTGTAGGAAAAACTATATCCTGCATTGGTGATCTACTTGAAAAAATACCAAGACAGTTTGATAGAGAAAGTGATGGCATGTAAACAGCTTATTGCAATTGCTGGGGATGGAAGACACGATTCCATGGGACATAGTGTCAAATATTGTGCATATACAACATTCTGTTGCACAGTACCTCAAATTATTAGTTTTTCTCTTGTGCAGGTACATTTGTTTGAATTATGTGATTTTCTTCTTTAAAATTATTTACCTATTTGCTATTTTGTAGAGAAATGAAGTTGGAAATAGCACTGGTATAGAGTTTGAGGGATTTAAAAGATCGATGGATTTTCTTAAATCTCGCAAAATTCCAATCTCCATGTTAATCACTGACAGGCACACACAAATTGCCAAACATTTGAGAGAGAATTGTCCAAGTATTACCCACTACTTTGACCTTTGGCATTTGACAAAAAGTAATGATTTTTTTTAGTTAATGAAGCAGTACTTTATGAAGCAAAAATATAACATATAGCTTGTATACAATTTACTACCTATGCTGGCATCAATAATTAAAGTGTGTATCTAAAACATATTTTATATTTCATCTTAGAAGTGACCAAGGACCTGACCAAACTTGCAAAATGTGGTGGATGTGAGTCTTTATCAAGCTGGATAAGACCTTGTTCCAACCATTTGTACTGGAGTGCTACATCAACACCTTCTGGTAACGGAAATGTGATTGTGGCTAAGTTTAAATCTTTCCTTGGTCATGTGAAAAACCAACACAGTGGATTTTCACACCCTTTATTTGACAAATGTGCTCATGAGTCCAACATAAAACCACGCAAATGGCTAAATGAAGGTAAAAAATCTAAAAAAATTCTTGTTGCTTTAAAAAAGAAATATTATGTGTTTAATAATCTCTTATTCATTGCCTTGTCTTTAGATTCTATATCATACAATAAGATGTATGCAACTTTAACTAAACCAAGGTTGATTGCTGGAATCGTTAAAGCTTCTCCAATGTCTCAAACAAGTGCATTGGAGGGATTTCACTCAGCTCTTAACCAGTTTGCACCCAAAATGATAAGCTACTCTTTTCCTGGGATGTTCTGCAGGTATTCTATGAAACATGTGTGGTGAAACACCAATGTGTCATTACAGTTTTTATTCCCTCGTGCCAATTTAAACTTTTTCAAGAAATTGAATGCAATTTCATATTTCATGAAGGCATATCCTTGCTGTAACTCACTTCAACAGCAATTTGGACAGGGATAATCAAGAGGTTAATGGAGTTCCCCAGGTTAAAGTGCATTATCCAAAATTTAAAAATGGTGAAGCTGTTGTAAGAAATGTTAAAGTTGCTCAGGATTTTGGTAAGGTTATTTAATACATTTCTCCTACTGCCAGATATCATGTGTTTAATGCCATAATAATGAAAGCCTTAATAAGAAATGATTACCATAAAATAAAATTTTGAATAATTTGCACATTGCTCCTCCAGGGTATGTTGAAGATATTTATCAAGTGTTGTGCTCTGCACTCATTGATGAGGAAACATTGAGAAAAGCCAAAGGTGATGTTTTACGAATGACTCCATTGCCAATGAATTCCATGTTGGACAAGCAATCAAAAAGTGAAGCTATCTCAAAAAAAGCAAGAAGACAAAGCATGCCAGCTGTACATTTCCCCCCAACTAAGCCAGGTTTTACAAAAGGCATTACTTGCTTTGAGTTAATTTGAATCTTATTTTTGGAACTGACTCACTTTATTGTTTGATATAGCTGAAGTATCACCTGTCCAAGAAATAATCACTAATCAGAGAAATGAGAGAGCAGCACCTCGATGCACTGTGTGCAAGAATTGGATGAAAGGCCATAAAAATATAATGAACTGTCCAAAAAACCAAAAGTAACGAGTTTTTTAGGACCTTGTGGTATGAGCCCAGTTACGTGGGATTCAGTGAAGTGTGAATTGACTGCATGGAAAGAATAAAGGGAAAGGAATTGTAATTTTGTACGTTTGGTATAACAAGTATAAGTGTGAATCGAAGATGCAATATATCAAGAGTGGCTTAAATCATTCCACACTTCACTGAATCCCTACTAGCTGGGCTCATGCAAACAACACCTAAAATAATATATAATGTTATGTTATTTTACAAATTGTCCTCTTCATACCCTGCAAAGAGTTCATTTTTTTAAATTAAAAGTTTTTCGAATAACATGGTAAGCACAAGCTGGAAGTCTTTTGTCTCGAAGAATGCCATGTACCATTCTTGTAAATTGTCTATATGCAACAACTCGAAAAAACCTGAAAAGGCATAATACACAAGGTCCATTAAAAGAGGTAGGAGTCCATAAAATACAAATTTTGCAAGTGTGCATTCATACATAACCCAGACAGAAACATTTAACTAATAATTCTAACAAACCTTTGCTCCAAGAATCCTTCATGATATGTAACTCCATCTTGTCCCTGGTAAAGATTGGCAGCTAAATTTAATGCCCATCGATTGAGGCAAATGGCATCAAATCCTGGATGCTCTGTTATGCATCTTGCATTTTAATCATGCATTTGGAAATTTCGTGGCAGCATCTACATTCTTTTGGATTAACCAAGAGAGGAACACGGCAGTTACCACAATTGCACCTACGAAAGTTATCTGTCCAAAGCTTTGGCAACAATAAATAAACAAATTTCCAACTTTTCTTACCAAGAATCAAGAGGAACTTCATTTTGCATTCTGCGTTCGAGCTCTTCTGTTTGGCGTCTTTCTTCTTCTGTTTCTCTAATATAGTTTTCTAACCACTTTTCATCTGCAAGTGGTTCGTTTTCATACGCTTCAGCTTGGCCATACTCAAAATCGCCATCGGTGTTTCGGAGCGCATTTGATGACGATTGATCTTCGTCTTCTAATTCGAATTCCCGACTGTTCAATACAATATTTTCCACTGTTGTTGCTGTACTCGACTCAGAATCAGATGTCGACATGTTTCGTACAATTTTTATATTAATTCAAAAGCAATATATAAAGAATTGTTATTTCACACTATGTTGTTTTGTATGCAGCGCATTCATACGTTCCTTAAATGACGTCACAAACCTCTCGTTTAAGTCCCCTCAGCGGCGCGGAAATTTCTCAAAAGCAAGCTAATTCAAACCGCAAAAAAAACTTTGTTTTTTCTTTTTTTACGAAATTTTTTTCGAAATCATATTTTCCACAGTCTAAACTTTAAAATTTCAACAAATTTGGAAATAGCTGTATGTGCACTTTAAAGCAACCAAATTTGTGTTCTTTGTCTTGGCACTCTGCGGTATGTAAAATTCGGCATTGATATTTCGAAAAATATCAACACCGAGACGATCCAACAAATTACCGTTGGTAACAATACTGTTGACTTTCAGGCAATCCAACATCTCTCCGTAGAGTTGAGCCATAAAAGTCTCATCTTTCCTCGTAAAAGCATCTTTGACTCGATCAGTGAAAGATGCCATGCTTCTTATTAATATTGTTGGTTTTGAAGCTCAAAGATAAAACCTCGCTATCAACAACTCAATGTGTGCTGAATTTCGCACAACACCGCTTGAACATTTCAGCAAAAACGGCGGCTCGTTAGTCAGCACAACGGCAATAAACCAATCAAGAGACAGATTTTAGTCTCCAAATTCAGCACAATTTAAGGCGTGCTAACTCTGCGCGGTTAGCTATGGGTATTTCTCCCGCAAGTGAATTATAAGTATTTTTAGCCACTTGAACCATTGAGCTCTAAAAGACCTGGAAGGGCAAAGGGGCCTGGACCCCGTGGTCAAAAACATGGCGGTAATGGCGGATTTTGGTTGTCAAAACTTCCACTTTGAGAAAAATTTTTAACATTCGCTCCCTCCCGAAACGGATCTCTATTACTGCTCATAATAATGACAACCAAGATAACGTAAGCATAAAATATTGAAAATAATGCTTTAGGTTTTTGTGAAATAAACACACACATTTAAATGAGGTAAATCTACTGTAAAATAACGTATATTTTGTCAAGTAATGCTTTAGCTGTATTAGAAATAAATATCAAACGGCAATCTTTACACTTTCAATGTGTTGTTAAGCTTTAATGCATAATCCCATGTGCATTACTTGTGTTTTTGACTGTTTGTGAACAGCTTGGTGCAACTCTCTTTCTTGAATAGATGGGTAAATCTTAGTTAAAATGTCCAAAAAGGAATTAGAAAAAGTTAGCTTACCCCTACGACTTAAGTCGACTGGAAATATATTATTAGTAGGTATGTAATTTTTTGAGTTTTTTTTTGTAGGATTGATTCTGGATGTCTTATAAAGTATTATGATAATCTGATAAATCTACTGAGAACTTATGAGGAAAATATTTCGAACTAGGAGAGCAAAAGAACTAAATTCAGAAATTCTATAATCATGTTGCTGGTTCTGTTTTGAGCCAAGATATTAGAAACTGGATTGTCATTGACAACCATGGATCTACTACTGAACAGGACTACATTAATTTCCCATTGAAAATACTATTTCTTAAATTAAAGTGCATTGGTTTCTCTGACATAACACTTTTCTTATTGCTGCATGAAGGCAAACCTGTTTAAATAATTCTAATGTAGGTGAAGATTTTTAGCATGTTGTATAATTGTTATTGTACAGTCATTATTTATAACATTATGGCCTTGTGTAAAGTATGTCAAGAAGAACATATTAATTCTCAAAAATGCTAACCTTCTTGCACTACTTTTCTCTTGTGTCCTTACAAATTACAGTTACCTATACTAATTTTTTCTAGGTTCAAACAACTTGACAAACTTTTGAATTTTACATTATGACTTTGAATTTTTCTTTTTGTCTTTTGGTAAAAATATCAGTGAATGACTTAAAAATCAAGTTTATCTAAAATAGTATTTTGTAAAAAGTAACTATACATAATTGGAAAAGTCTCATGTTGAACGGAAGATGTGGTTTCTTTTACTAGATTGCTACTCTTATTCTTTTAAATGATATTGTAATTCTTCAAAAGACATAAAAAGTTCTTTGCCATCAATTTTTGCTTCTTCCACATTCAACTTCATTGCAACCGATGCATCTTATGTGAATTTTTAATCACCTGGAATTGAAAAACGTATGGATTTTGTCAGAAGATGCAGTATTGTATTTAATGTTTCATGCATGTCATAATAAGCTCTTCTTGAGCAAATACTTCAAGGTAGGAGCAAAATTTGGCACATTATTGAACAAAGTAGTTTTTATCTTGATTTTGGTGTACTAACCTGTTTACTACACTATGTAACAAACAATTCATTTACAGAAACACCAGAGATAAAACTTTTAGCATAAAGCAAACCTTTACACACCATCATTATGGTTGTCCATAATCTGTCAAATTGTCCAGGCTAGCTGTTTAATACAGGTATTTTTTATTGTACGACATGTACCAAAGAGCTCACTAATTAATTCTGCACTGCATTTGATTTCAATACAGCTCTGTCCTTAATATTTGCTTCATATTTTCAGAAAAATATGAAAAAATCCTTTATTTCAACTCAGTTGAAACAAGGAGTTTTAAGATATGCATATCTCGATAAGAAGTGATTGCTTTGCCTCGTCTAGCAAGCGATTAAGTAAAGAGCAAATAAGACTGGATAAACATAACTTGAAATATAACTTACGAGTAAAAACATTCACAAAATATAAGCCATCACACTTCAAGTATTGACTTAAAACAAAACACTGAACACTTTAAATAGTAAATAATCTTACGTTGCTTACCAGTGTCATGAAATGTTTCCTTTTCTGGCATTACTTCAGCATCCGTCTACCAAACAAGTTTGCAGTATGTTTTAAAGATAAAATTTCTAAAGTTTTTGTGCTTGGCATTGGTATTTTATATAATCGCAATTGTGGTTGTCAAATCCGGGTGGGCGAAAAACATTTCATTTTACGAGCCCGCGTCTTTCCGCTGACTTTGACAACCAAAATGCGCCATCTTTTTGACCACGCGGCCGCGCGCTGATAATTTATAGTAATTTGGTTGACGTTTCCCCTCCAGGTCTTATAGATCTCAATGACTTGAACCCTTAATCCAGTGCTTGATCCAGGTCCTGGAAACAATAACATTGCTCAGTGAATGCACTTTGTTGCACAATTTTCTCATAATACTATCCCTAACCCTGACAATATGATTATTTTTCTAATGCTTTCGTTGTGAGGACACAAAAAATTTAATTAATTTTCGGATAAAGAATTCATGATCATTATTCACACAACAAAACAAAGTACACCATACCGAGACGAGATTCGAACCTGCAAAAGGCGAATAGGAAAATGCTCTTGGTCCTTTCGACAAAACGGACTTCATTCCACACGAGCAAATTGTTTTTATTTTCAACTAGGGATATTTAAAATTTGATTAATTTTTCCGCTGCTGTGAAGAATTTAACTACGTCGCGTGATGAATGTGACGTAGTTTCATTCCGCCCCTGCCGAACATTGCTAAAGATATGTTTTTCCTTGGAATATCAATTTTATTCTCTGTTGTGCAATAAAACAATAAAGACTATTAAAATCAAACACTTTTTCTATATATCAGTTATCTAAGGTAGTCACATTAAGATGACTGCCACACTCAACATACAGCTTCAATTTTAGAACATAATGTGCCCTCCAAATATTTAGGTCAGGGATTTCCGGTGATTTGAGTGACATGGATGCATGGATGAACCCGACAGCTTGCTGAAGTGATCAATATTTTGAAGTGATGAATTATTTAATACGTCAGCGTCTCAAAGCAGGTTAAGGTACTACAGTAAATGTTTTGAATCTGGGAGTATCGTTACATGTTTGTCGATGACTCTGAAGATGACTTGTCTTCAAAGAGGACTACCGCTAAGGTTGTCAGAACGTCA